AAATACAAAAGTAGCCGGACGTGGTGGTACATGCCTGTAATCCCAGCTACTCAGGAGACTGAGGCAGGAGAATCACTTGAACCCCGGTAGGCGGAGATTGCGGTGAGCCAAGATTGCACCATTGCACTCCAGCCTGGGCAACAAGAGCAAACTCTGTCTCAAAAAAAAAAAAAAAAAAAAAAAAAAAAAAAAAGGAAGAAGTGATTGTATTGCATTTCTGCCAGCTCTGTCTCCTGCTTTGCATTTAGGCTTGCCTGATTTCTTTTAGACCCTGTCTGATTTCTCTTTAGGACAAGAAATTCCATTCAGGACTGATTTGATTAATTTGTTGATCTTGGAACCCGTCCATTGTAGAGAATGTCAAGGGGTTTCTTCTGAACACATTGTAAGAGAATCTGGAATCCTCCTACACCTGGTGGTCATGCAGGAGCATAAGAAGTGGCCCCCTCCCACGATTTATCTGTCAGCTTATTGTATTGCTTATGTCTTGCCTTCTTCCAAAAACTTAATTTATTATTCCACAAGTAGTACATGTTCCTTGTAGATGAAAAAAAAATAACAGGAACAAATTGTTCCTTGATACTTGGAGAGTAAGACATCACACGTTAAAATATTTTTCTAAAGTTAAATCAACTTTAAGCATAGCTTGCTGAGATAGACAAGAAGCCCAGTATCAGGCATTCCTCAAGGCTTCTTCCCTTGAGAGGAGGAATTTATAAGACTCAGGAGGAAGAGGGGATGACCAGGAGGCTCTGCAGGCCCTAGCACTGAGTGCTCCTGTCTCAGTGGTACCTCCCTGTCCTTCCCCACATTAAATTTCTACCCTATCAGAGTCCTGTGTTGCAGAGGTGTCAGGCTCTCCCAAGGGAGGCCTCATAAGCTCATTCATTCCTGCCTTGCCCAGTAACCTGTGTGGGGCCATTTCCTGATACAGTGCTTGAAGCACATACCTTCATCTCTCCTATTTGGAAATGCTGGTACAATTAATTTGCCTTATTGGGCCAACAAACTGAAGACAAAACATTGGAGGAGGACTTATCCACTGCCCGTCATTTCCTCCCTCACTTTTGGAAACCCACAAATAATAATGTTTACTCTTTTGTGGAGCAAGGAGAGTCCAGACCTTAGGGAGTTCAAAGCTGGCCTTTCCTTCATGAGTTAGGAAGCAAAGTGCCATATTGCAGCAAAAACAGATGAACAGAAGATACCAGTAAAATTCTTAATGTACTATTTTAACGTATTGGTACATAAAAAGAAGGCACAAGTCACCCATGGTTCTTCCAGTCATACTTAACAGCTGTTAATATTTTGTTGTTGACTTAATCTTTTTTTCTATGTATCTGTATAGAGGTGTACCAGAAAGGTTGGAGACAGCTTTTGCAGAGTCAGTATATCGCAGTATTTAAAGAAGAAACTGACACAAAGAGAAAAAACCAAGGGCCTGAAAATGAGTCCAGGAGTTACTTTTCCTATAAGGCTTATTCTTTTCCCTCAGCTCCAGAAGGGGTTTTTCATGAAAAAAAGTCTTCTACAAGGAGCTAAAAAGTGAAACCTCTGTTTGTATGGTGGATATAATTCTCCTTTTAAAAGGCCCCCCCCTGCCCCCATCCCAGGGGAGCTCTATGGCTGAGGACCTCGTAATTGCTGAACTGCATTTCAAATCAGAGTGTAATTGTGATCAAACCAAGTGACTCTCATTACTCCTTTGCCTCTTGCATCAAAACCACTTACACTGACACCGAGCAAAGCTGAGCACACTCAGCCTGTGATTCTTGGCAGGCTGGCTTCCCTTTTAATAGGCAGGGTTGCACAAGCGGGCGGGGTAGCTGGTGCCATCTGCAGGAGGAAGGTGGTAGGTGGTGAGAGGTGCTTGTGCTGCTCTCTTCTTGGAACCAGAAATACCGAGGGCTCTGGGTTGCTTTCTGGGAGTGTAGCTAGGTGGGTCCCTGGGCTTTTATTCTAGGCCCCACCTGTCCCCAGACCTGGAAATAATTAGAGGCAAGTGTGCCTGCAGTTGTCTACTGTGTGGTGAAAGCCTGGTGGGCTGTTGGCTTCCTTTTGTCATGTATGCCCATTTTACTTCATGTACTTGGTTGTTGAGATAGCCAGCAACAGTTTTATCACGTTCAGTGGTTTTGAGTTTCTCATGGTGCCTTTTTAAAAGGCCTGACGCTCCTAGGCACAGAGGAAGGGAACGTTCTTCTAAGCCCCTTTGAAGTGGCAGGCATGGACTTTGTTCTCTGCACACACGTCTTCTGAGAATCAAGCTGTGGATCTCCCCAGCAGGGTGCAGTGGGGTAGCTGGAGGTCATGCGTAGCCTGTGCAGACTTGGAGCACAAAGCTCCTGTTAGCTGGTTCCATTGCTCAAGTGTTCTATTGTCGATGCTGAATTTCTGTTTTGGAATTTAAAAAATTCTTATTTTTAGTTTTTTATAATGAGGAGACACAATTGCTCTCTTTCTTAAATGTCTGGCCTCATTCTTACCTAACAGTGGAATCCTGGATTACATAATTTACTGAGATATTTTTGAGTTTTTATTTTACATTTCTATTGAGGTATAATACATGTACAGAAAAAGTACACAGATCTTAAGTGTACATCTCAGTAAATGTTTACCTCTAAATACTCCTTTGTAACCTTATCACCTTATCCAGATGAAGATATAAAGCACTTCCAGCACTTCCAAAGGCCCTCTAGTGCCCTTCCCAGACAGTGCTCCCTTCCCAAGGGTAATGACAGTTCTAACTTATCACCAACTGTTCATTTTGCCTGTTTTTGAATTTGATATAAAATGAATTCATCCAGAATATATTCTTCTGTATCTGCCTTCTTTCATTCATTATGTCTATGGGATTACCATGCTGTTGTGTCTAGAAGTAGTTGTTTGTCATTGCTGTGTTTTATTCCTTTTTGTGAATTTATTACCACAATTTATCTGTTCTACTGTTGATTGGACATTTTACTTCTTGACATTTTTTAAAGCTTGGCTTATCAAAAACCATCTTTTGATGTTGGCCGTCATTTATTCCAATGATTTAAAAAAAATTAGCAGTGGATCTTTCTTTTTTTCCAAAGGAAATGTCATGTAGAGTCCATTCATAGAAAACAGATAAAATGTGAACTGCTGCAACTGAGATGGGGGAGGGTGGCTTGGAGCCCCCAGCCTCTGCTTTTTCTTATTCCCATACGATGGCCCTTAGGTGAAGCAGTTTAGCTTGTTGGTTCAGACCTGGCTTCTGGAGTTGGGCTGCCTGCCTAGTTTCTCTTTGCTGTACATTCTTGAACAAATTACTTAACCTCATTTTCCTTATCTGTGAGATGGAGTTTTTTTTTTAATAATCCTCAAAGAAAACATTAAGGAAAGCAGTGCAAGGAAAGCACTGCATGCTGTGTTCCACTCATCAAGGGTGTCATAAATGGTGTGGTGAGTGCTGCTGTCATCACTGTAGTCAGTGTCATTTTCTGCAGAGTCCTAGCACTCCCTGGGGCACCATCAGAAAGCCATGGATTCATGGCAGTAGCAGAATCACAGCCTTCACTGTCCCTCCAGTCCGTGAAGATGTGACATGCCACAGCGTGTTGGAATGCCTCTGAGGCCCTCCTCCCTTCTAGGGCAGGAACCCGTGGGCAGCAAGTGCATCGCTCATCATGAGACTGGCAGAAGGCTGGCACTCTCCTGATGAGTGGAACTGGACCCCCCAGAGCCCTACTTCTCAGACCCATTTTTCACTATGTACCTGGGCTTGGTGGGACTATTGAGTCTGCTAAATAAAGACTACCTGGGGCTTCATCTTTGTGACAGGATGTCCTTGTGGCGTGAATCCAGAAAGAGGTTAGGATGTGAAGAATGGAGCCCCTTTTAGGCTTTTATTCTACCCTGGTTTCCAGCCAAATTGGTCTTTTGGAGTCAGGCCCAGGCCCATGTGTTGCTGGAAGGATTAGATATTACTATTATTACTGTTTGTAATAACAATAGACGACAATTATTTAGTGCATGCAATCTCCATTAGATGTGTTATTTAATCTTCCTGACAGCCCTATGAGATAGGTATAGTTACATGTGTTGATCTGCCCACCAGGCACCTCCCCATTTTAACTAGAATTAAATTCCATGGGGGAGAGATTTTCTTTTTCTTTTCTTAACTGTTGTATCCCCAGAAGCTAAAACAGTGTGGGCTCACTAAATATGTGTAAAAATGAATGAATAATTCTTTCTATTAAAGAAGAAGAATTTAGGGGCTCAGACCAGTTAAATGACTCACCCAACATCACACTGCTAGTAGGAGGCCGAGCCAGGTCTGTTTGATTCTGAGCTCCTGCTGGTAACTGTCCTCCTGTACAAGAGTTGGAGGGGAGACCCCTCCTGAAAGGATGGGATGAAAGAGAGGGAGTTTACCTTGAGCTCAGTGTTTGTATGTACCTGTGATAATGAGACCAGCATGCTGCAGAGTACACATGGGACGTGCCACCTGACGTCCAGGTGGGGTCGTTCAGGACCCTCATCTGCATGGGTCCAGGTCTTTGCTGCCCCCAGACAGTCTGACAGGGCAGATGACTTGGCGATGGGCTTCTATCTTGGCCCTTCATCAGGATTCTGCAGGCACTGGGCAGATATTCCTGTCCTGGATCCTTCTACAGGGATACTGCAGGGGAATTGATGGGGCAGGAGATGAAATCCACCATTGTCTGACAGAGGTCTTAGATCAGTCCTGTGCTTAGGGCAATGACCGTTCATACTTGGGGATTTTCATCCCCTTTCTTTTTAAACTCTAGGTATTCCCAGTAGGAAACTGCCTGTTGATCATGTTAATCTTAGGGAGACTTTTCAAGCCATTTGATTTTTTTTTTCCTGACATCAATATTATAGTTTTATTATAGTAACAAATAGTTGTTACAGTGAGACCTACACACATATATAGAATTATATTTAAATTCATATAGAATATTTACATTTTTAAGTTATACTTTTGAAATTAGAAGAAGTACAGCTTAATTTTGATAACAAAGAAATATATATAAGACAAAAATAGACAAGAGTTAACAATAAAAACACAACTATCTGTTGTTATAACATGTGGAAACTTTTTGTCAGAAAGCTACATCTTCTTAATCTGATTGTCCACGTCATTAAAATATGGATGATTCAGTGCCATTTTGCCAGAAATTCGTTTGGCTGGATCATAGATTAACATTTTCGAGAGCAAATCCAAGCCATTTGCATCCAAGTTTTTGACATGGGATGCTAGGCTTCCTGGTTTCCATTTGGGAAATGTATTCTTATAGTTTCCTGTAAAGATTCCACTTTTGGCCACACTTCATTGTTGGGAGTGCCCAAAGCTCTGAAAATCCTGAAGAGTTGATCAATTTCTGAATCCCCATGGAAAAGTGGTTTTTTAGTTGCTAGTTCAGCAAATATGGTGCGTATCCTCCAAATGTCAACTGAAGATGAGATATAACCTGGAATCCTGCATAAGCATATCCTGACGACTGACTATATTTGGATGACGAAGTTCTTTTAATAGAGAAATTTCCCGAATTGCAGTACTAGGAACCCCTTCCTCTTCACTTTCTAGTCTGATTTTTTTCATGGCTACCACTTGACCTGTAGTTTTGTGTCTACCCTTATACACAACTCCATAGGTACCTTCTCCAGTTTTCTCTATTTTGGTATAATCTTCCATAGTTAGTCAATGGGTATAGCAGATCCTGGCTTATTATCCCGCGGTGGCCACAGCAGCAGCTACCACAACCACGTCGCTCTCTGCTCAACTTCCAAGAGCCAGCTTTGAAGCCAAGTGCCGCCATTTGATTTTTAAATGCACTTTTACTCACAGTACAGTTGGCAGCAGGTAATTACCATTAGGCCTGTCTTAGTGTGTTTTGTGCTGCTATGACAGAATACTTGAGACTGGGTAATTTACAATGAATAGAAACTTATATGGCTCAAAGTTCTGAAGATTGGGAAGTCCAAGATCCGGGGGTCTAAATGTGGTAAGGTCTGTCCTGCTGCATCATTACATGGTGGAAGGTGGAAGGGCAAGAGAGCATACACAGAGAGAACAAGAGAGGGAACTCACAGCCTCAAGCCTTTTTAGAATTGGCATTAATCCATTCATGAGGGTGGACATATTCAAACCATAGCAATGTCATCATACCACAAACTGTAGCTGCAAAGAGTTCCTCTCCGCCATCATTTCTACATCCTTGGAGGAAGAACTGAAGATTTATGAGATGCAGGCAGAAGAACTGAAGATTTATGAGATGCAGGCAGAGAGTGGCTGCTCACCTCCAGGCCTTTTTTTGCTTGGTGCTTATCCTTTCTTTATCTCCATTTAAGTGTGTGTGTACCCATTCCCACTTAAGTATGTATTATCTCCTCTTCTATTCCATATTGTTCTGTGCTTAGCGTTGTCATTTTCTGGTATTTTACTTTGGAATTCTTACCAAATTGTATCTAATCTCTGTAACACACTCTTTACCCTTTCTTGGAATTTCTGACACAGTGTTGGACCCTTTTTTGTGTGTGACAGTTTTAGAATTACCCTCTGACGTCAGCTGGGTTGAAAAAGTGCTTGTCTCCTCTTAGCCGTTTCTTACCCTGGGGTCGTTTGTAGCAAGTTTTAGTGATGGTGCCTTGCCAAGATATTTTCTTTAAAAGTTACAGTGTAGGTGTCTCCTTATACTTTCCCTCAGCATGCAGGAAGGGGTTTGCATCCAATCCTTGTAAGGAAAGATCAAGCTTCTATTGCTTAGGGAGGGTATTGGTTGGCAGAATGTGGGGTTCAGTGGATTCAGCAAATGAGACACTGAAGAGTACAGTAGTTAGGAGCTTGGCTGTGGACACGGACTGTCTGGGTCCACGGGAGGAACTGACGAAGTTTCTTCCTGTTGCTTTATCATTCTTGAGACCTACACAGTCCAGTACAGTAACCACCAGGCTCGTGTGGCTACTCAGCAGCTGAAACTGGGCTAGCCCACAGTGGGATGCGCTGGGAGTGTAAAACACCAAGATTTCAATGCCTTAGGATGAAAGATCATTAATATTTTAAAATATGGATGGCATGTTGAAAAAATACTTTGGGTTAAATAAAATATTAGAATTAATGTTCCCTGTTTTTGCTTTGTAGTGTGACTGCCAGAAATTCAAATTATATATGTGGTTCACATTGTGGTTGACGTTATATTTCTATTAGATAGTGCTGATCTCACCTGAGGATAGTAACAGCCCCTTCCTTCTTCATGGGTTGCTGTGAGGGTTAAATGGGTGAATAGATGAATGGTGTTTAATTTGGTACTCAGCATATAGTAAGTATTTACAAAGCCTTAGACAATCATTGTTGACGTTATCGTCATCATCTTATCATCCAGGGTGGAAACCTAAGCTAAGAGGAGAAAGTTTGGATGTGGAGACATCTGGATTGTGGTTTGAGGTAAACTTATCAACCTCTTAAGAGGTTGTTTATGATTTGGGACTCTCTGGTGTTATAAGTAATCCCTATCCCCTTGGCTCCTCTTTTATATTGGTAATGGAAGGCTGTGTATACAGTTCATGGTAAATCCTGTTACCTAAAGGGATGGCTGCTCACTGCAAAATGCTTTGTAGAATCCCCAGAGGCTTATTTATTTACCAAGCTACTTTGGCTCTTGCAATGGAGTGAAAAATCAGGTTTTCATGAAGCCAGTTATAAATAGCTAACCTTTGGGAAGGGCTTACCATATGCCTAGCACTATGCTAAGTGCTTGCCATGTATTTCTTTATTTAATGCTCACAGTAGCCCTCCAAGGCAAGTGCTGGCCCCACCAGTTTAAGTGGAGAGAAGCAGAACTTAGCATAAGTAACATCTTGCAGCCAGGACGTGAGGGAGCTGGGACTTGAATCTAGGTCGGTCTGATTCTCAAGTTGTGGCACTATTCATTCTGCCTCCTTGGAACTCAAAAAGCAAGTCTTTTAATCAGGAAACCTTATGCAGCACACTGGGTATTTCAGAATGTCTGAGACACTGGAGAGGGCATAAGCCTGAAGGCATAAGCCCAGAAAATGGCTGAGTCCTCAGGCCAGGGTTGAACTGGGTTCTGGAACCAGAGTGGAGTACATGGTGGCCATGGGCAGGTGTGGCCAGGTGACCAGCAGTGAGAACAGCACAGCCCTGGTCTCAGGCTGTCCCTTTGTGTCAGCCAGGCAGATTTTATAGGATGTATTCATGGACCTGAGGCCCATCCACCTGAGAGGCTTTCCCAAGACCCTGGAGAGGCAGAGATGCTTGACAAATGCATTAACTTTGCCAATGCTGCTTAAAGGAGGTATGTGATATAACATTTCCAAAGACACAGTGTTTTCTTGGAGCAATCTCAGTACAGCTAAAACTCTAATGACTGCATGTGTCAGAAAAGGAGCTTCTTTTTCACTTAGGCCTGATGTAAATTCACTGGTGACTTTACCATGTTAGCTAAATTCCAGGAAAGATACATGTCACTGGGTTGGGTGTTTCTGTTGCCGCGGGACATTGAATGATGCATTCTTTAATGAGCGAGTGTCACTCATTGGAGCAGCTGCCTTTCAGGGAGCCTTTCTCTTGAACAGAAGAATTCTATTTAGTATCCCAGTTATTTCCTCTTTGACCCCCTTTCAGTCAAAATATGCAAGGTTTATTCCTCACCTCTTGACATCCAACGCCTGTTAGAGCCTTATTAGCATTTGTTCTCATTGATGTTCATTGCATTTTAAATCTGGCAGGGACGTGATTAAGAGGTGGAAAATCAGTGGACTTGGTCGGCGTGTGACTGTCTGATCGTGGCATGATGACCAGCTCAGCATTTAATCACATCTCTGTTTTCAGTTTCCTTTTATACCCCTGGAGGGAAAAAGTTCAATTCTCAGTTATGCTCTGGCTGGCAGAGGTAGGCAGTGGGTGAGAGGGGTGCAGAATCGGTTGGTCCTGAGTGTGCTGAGAGGCAGGCTAGGTCCTAGGAGACGAACTCTACCTACCATTCACCCTAGGCACCATCCTTGCATCACTCGCTACCCGAATAAGCGGGCCAGCTGGGCTTATTCTTATAAGGAGGTGTACCTGTGGGATCCCAGTAAATCACTGCACTCATCCTGTGGGGTTGGCGGTTGCTATGGATAGAATTGTGTCCCTCCGAAGTTCCTTTGTTGAAGCTGTCACCCCCAGTGTGATGATATTTGGACATGGGGCCTTTGGGAGATGTTTAGGTTTAGATTAGGTCATGGGGGTGTGGACTTCCTGATGGGATTAGTGTCCTTATAAGCAGAGACATCAGAGACCTTGCTTCCTCTTTCTCTCAGTCATACGAGGGTACAGCAAGGAGGCAGCCATCTGCAAGCCAGGAAGAGTGCCCTCACCAGGGAACTTAATTGGCCAGCACCTTGATCTCAGATTTGCAGCCTCCAGAACTGTGAAAAGTAAGTTCCTGTTGTTTAGACCACCCACTCTGATGTATTTTGTTACGGAAACCTGAGCTAAGACAGTGGTCCTAGTTCCAGTTCACGACTTTGGGAAGCTTACATAAGTTCCCAATGAGTAAGTGGCACACCCAGGTCAATCTGGGGGCAACAGCCGGTCTCCCTGGCACTTCTCCACCCCTGTATGGATGTTGCCTGTTGGGGTTTTGCTTATATATGTTCTCCTCAGGAGGATCTCTTAGCCCTGTCATTATTTTTGGGTCCCTTGCAAAGCCATGTGTAGAGTAGACATTGAATAGACAACAGCACAGTGAGTGAATGAATATGACAGCCTGGGACAGAAACCAACCAAGGGAAGAGGTAGATAGATGGAGGAAGCCACAAAGTCACTCACCTTTTCCTTTCACTCATGTCTTATATATGAGTTTGCATGAATAAGAATTCCCAGAGAAGTTTCCTCTGCTGTCCAGACACCTGCCCACCTGTCAGGGAGCATTGCCTTTGTCTTCAGGAGCAGCTCTGAAGGGTCTCAAACTGTTCTTTCCCACATAGGTCTAACTCAGTCTACTTGTCGGCTCAACTGACACCACCCTGGTGGGAGTCCAAACCTCTGCTTCCATCTGAGCACCAGGCTGGATGGGAAAGAATGAGTTAAAGCCTGCAAGTATGAGTCTGTTGTGCAGAGCAGCATCTAGGTCATTCCTTCAACACAAAAGAAATGAAATACAGCTCGTCTAGCTGCAGCTTGCTGCATGAACCCCGCTGCTCTGTGCAGAATAATACCAGGCGGGCATGAGGCCATTTTAATAAGATACAGCAAGATTAATAAGGGAGCAGACCACATGTTCCTCTGGAACACATAGTCCTGTATGCAGTCGTGAAGGAGACACATGGGAGATGTGGAAGCGGTGGGGACAGGGCTGTGGGGAAGGGAGAGGGAGGCACAGGGCCAGCAGCCCCAGACAAAAGCCAGCCTAAGACACTTCCTGGGAGGAAGGGCCGCATGATGACAGGGGTCCTAAACTTGGGTCCAGGATGGGTTTCTAGCAATCTGAAGATGCCCTGAAGCTGTGTGTGCAATGCTGCGTGTATACCCCTCTAGCCTAGCTGGCTGTATTTGGGGCTGCACAGGGCCTTTGCCTGTGCCCTCCTCCCTGCCTGAATCAGCCTCTCCCATGGCTGCCTAGTTAGATCCCACTCTGCCTCCAGGTCTCACTTGCTTGTGGAAACCTTTCCAGACCCCCAAAACAGGTCACAGGTGCCCATTGTTCCCTCTCAGGACCCTGTGCTCCTTTTCTTTGTGGCATGGTCCAGTTGTCATTGTACCTTAACTTGTAACCCTCCTCCCCATGTCT